CCAAGGAAGAAGTAAGTTTGCTCCTTAAAGTTTTTTACAGCTCTTTGACCCTGACTCAAAATAGGCCCTCAGACTTCCTTGTTATCTATTGTTTGATCCTTACTTCCTAGCAATGAGTAATGAGCTTTTACCTGAATTCTTATGCAAACGAAACCAATAAAAAGCCTCTCTGGAGGGGGAACGGCATGCTCTCTCCACCAGGGAGGGTGGCCAAGTGGCATGCTCCCCACGTGAGGAGTGGCCCTGCTGTTCCTATTCCCCCACAGGACCTGGTTGTCTCTGTGTTACAGGGTGCAGCCAAGAGGGGGGGACCCCAAATGGGCATTTGAAATGGGGTCCAGAACTTAAGGTGTCCAGGAGATTTTAAAATGTCTCCACCCCCCCACCCAGCCCGCGTGTGGGTTGGGGGGAAGGGACAAATGGAGCAAGGCCATTGAGAGCTGTTTTGCATAGCAACAGCCTTGCAGCTACCCTCTGGCGTGGTCATTTAACATATCTATAGCCTTTGGCTGGTCGCTTAGATATGTTAAATAACTGTGATCATCTCTGAGCCAGGGGAATGGAAGTAACTTCCCCACCAACACGTGACTGGGGCAGATCCCCCCAAGCTACAGCGCCTGCGTGGGAGCTTGGAGAGGATTGGCTCCAGGACATGGGGCCACGCCTGCCCAGACTCAAGATGGCAGCCCAGTAAAGCTGGAAGGATACAAGTTCTGGCATGTGAAGCCGAGTGTGGGAGGAGTCGGAAATGAGGCTGCAGAGGAAGATTGGCCGCGGGGATTTAAAAGCCAGACTTGGCGGCCATTAGGAGAGAGAACTATGCGTCTTTAACAGAGTGAGGACTCTCCCTTCCCGCAGCCATAGGAGAGAGAACCATGCGGCTTTGACGGAGTGGAGACTCCTGCATCCCAGAGAGAACCGTGGTGCTTTAGGGGGGAGAATCATGTGCAGCCCTGAGAAGGAGAGCCATGCGCAGCCCTGAGAGAGAGAACCATGTGGCTTTAGCAGAATGGGGAGGACCTCAGCCATTGAGGGAGAACTGTGCTGCTTTAGGAAAGAGAACCACGCGACTTTGGCAGAGTGGGGACTCTCCCCTTCCCGCAGCCCTGAAAGGGAGAACCACGAGGCCTGGACAGAGCGTGGACCCCCGCAGCTTTAGAAGGGGAACCACCACCTGGTTTTAGCAGAGATCCCGGTGACTCAGCAGAGGATGCCGGGAACCCAGGGAGGTCTCCCAGTCGAGATGGAGGACTAACTAAGAACCAGAGGACTGCCTGAGCCATGGACTTCATTTTCCTTTCCTGAGATACGGTACTCTGGACTGGGCAAAGGGGGAAGGAAGGAAGAACTGTGTCTGTTTGTGGGTGTTTTAAGGGACTTTGGGATTTTTGATAAAGACATTAGGTCACTACTTGAAGTTTGTATAGCATTAAATAAACATTTCCTTTCCTTTTCACAAATCTCTGGCATTGAGAGATGTCTTTCCTCGGGCGGCGGACATAACGGACCCGGGGCCTTCTTTCAATAATACTATATTGTCTCAGGCCCCCCTTGTTCTGTTCTGTAACATCTGTGTATGTTTTTCTCGCATTTCAACGAGCCATCCACAGCGTTCTGTGATCACGTATCAACCACCAAATCAATACTTCAGATGCTTTCATGATTTTTTGTGGTTATGCACAGAGGAGTGAAACATTTGGGACCTACCACACGCATTTCCCTGGCCTAGGTCAAATGAGGCAATGCTCTGCTTTCTTGCTTCAGTTGTCAAAGAATAAAGTCTTTTTCAGTATATTATAGCCACTTTTTCACATTTTTATGACTTTTGTTGGTGAACTGGCTGTTTAAAATGGTCCCCAAATATAGTGCTGAAGTGCTGTCCAGTTTGTTTAAGCACAAGAAGGCTGTGGTGTATTTTACAGAAAAAAATACATGTGTTAGATAAGCCATCTTTGGACAAGAATTATAGTGTTGGCTGTAGTGAGTTAAATGTCAATGAATTAATACATATTAAATAAGGTCTTTAAACAGAAACACATAAAACAAGATTATATATTGGTGAGTTGATGAAGATGTTGTGACCAGAGTTAAGTTCCTCACTGGAACCTAACTCTGTGTTTCCCTTAGGAGCAATGGTTCTGTATTTATTGATTTAGTGTTCCAGAATCGACTGTATTTGCTAAATGAATAAACCCGGATCATTTTATTCCAAGTCCAAATCTTATGTGACTGTGTTACAGAACAAACAAGGGGGGCCTGGGATGATATACTATTATTGAAAGAAGGCCCCGGGTCCATTATGTCCGCCGCCAAAGAAAAGACGTCTCTCAATGCCAGAAATCCGTGAAAAGGAAAGGAAATGTTTATTTAATGCTATACAGACTTCAAGTAGTGACCTAATGTCTTTATCAAAAATCCTAAAGTCCCTAAAAACACCCACAAACAGACACAGTCCTTCCTTCCTTCCCCCTTTGCCCAGTCCAGAGTACCGTATCTCAGGAAAGGAAATAGAAGTCCATGGCTCAGGCAGTCCTCTGGTTCCTCCCAGTTAGTCCTCCATCTCGACTGGGAGACCTCCCTGGGTTCCCGGCACCCTCCTCTGAGTCACCGGGATCTCTGCTAAAACCAGGTGGTGGTTCCCCTTCTAAAGCTGTGGGGGTCCCCACTCTGTCCAGGCCGCGTGGTTCTCCCTCTCTCAGGGATGTGGGAGTCTTCACTCTGCTAAAGCTGTGTGGCTCTCTCTATAATGGCCGTGATCCTCTCTGCACCTCCACAGCCACATGGTTCTCTCCCTCTCAGGGCTGCGCATGGCTCTCCTTCCTAAAGCCGCATGGTTCTCTCTTTAATGGCCGCCAAGTCTGGCTTTTAAATCCCCGCGGCCAATCTTCCTCTGCAGCCTCATTTCCGACTCCTCCCACACTCAGTTTCACATGCCAGAATTCATATCCTTCCAGCTTTACTGGCTGCCATCATGAGTCTGGGCAGGTGTGGCCCCATGTCCTGGAGCCAATCTTCTCCGAGCTCCCACGCAGGGGATCTGCCCCCAGTCACGTGTTGGTGGGGAAGTTACTTCCATTCCCCTGGCTCAGAGATGATCACAGCTATTTAACATATCTAAGCGACCAGCCAAAGACTATGGATATGTTAAATGACCACGCCAGAGGGTAGCTGCAAGGCTGTTGCTATGCAAAACAGATCTCAATGGCCCTGCTCCATTTGTCCCTTCCCCCCAACCCACACGGGGGCCGGGGGGCGGGCGCGAGGGGTGGAGACATCTTAAAATCTCCTGGACACCTTAAGTTCTGGACCCCATTTCAAATGCCCATTTGGGGTCCCCCCTCTTGGCTGCACCCTGTAACAACTGCAGCATATGGTGGTAGTTAAAGCAGTGATTGTGTAGCCAAACTGCCAATCTTGGCCTTCTGACATGCTAAGCAGTGTGATTTGGGGAAATTAACTTTTCTCTGCTATTTTCCACAAGTAAAAATATATATAAAAGAATAGTTGTTAATGATTACCAGGAGCTGGCTGTGGGGAAGGGCACTAACCACAAATAGGCAGGAGGAAACTTTTAGAATGAGGGAAATACTCTGTATCAAGATACATGTCTTGATGGTGCTAGCTACACATCTGCCTATGTTCTTCAAAACTCATAACTAAAAAAGGTAAGTTTTACTTTGTATAAATTAAATGTAATAAACTTGAGGTTATAAAAAGAGTAACAGTCAAGGTCAAAATTAAAGTAATAATACACATAAAACATTTAACGCATCTCCTGCTTACATAAATACTCTCCGAACATTAGCAATCATTCTAATAACAATAGACAGAGAAAGTTTAGGTGGTATAAAAAGCAGCAGAGTAGTCTCATGAACCAGGATTCTAATTTGGCTCTATCAATATATAACCAGAAGTTGAGCTGTTAATGGGAGTTCACTTTTGTAAAAGTTACGTTAGAAAACATGTGAAATATCTGTGTAAACTATACAGCTACATGGGAATGTGAAAAATAGGACTATTATGAGAGAGCAATACAATATCACAAGGCCACACAAACTTGGTGTGGAGGTCACCTTCCCAAGGCCAGAAAATGTGGCGCATTGTGAAAAGGGGAGCACATATTGTTTAAGAGCCTTGGTCCTTAATCCTATACAAGTCTATTGGCTCCAGGTCAATTTTGAAGACCACCCACCTGCTCTAATGAGGTATAGACATACCTCCAATTCAACGAAATGCCAACGCTACGAGGAAGGAAGAGCTGAGTCTGGCAGAACACCTTTCTGAACTGGACAATGTGGTAGGCGTCCAACACCATTCACCTCTGTAACTTCCTAACAGCCTCTGGAGACAGGAGTGAGTTAGGCCATCTCATTGCTGCTTCTTAGGATGTTTTATGAGTTCCCACCCCGGCAAGCGCTGCTGACTCCAGCCGGATACCCAGTGGCAGTCGCCGCCATAAACTGATCATAGGTGGCTGAGGTTCCAGGAGGAGCCTACAGTGGAGCTGAGTGCGTGCAGAGCTGAATACCGCATTCAGGCTCTTCCTCGAGGAGCAAGCCCAGAGAGGGCTGCTGCTGTTCATTTCCAAAGTTCCTTCCCTAGTCACGTGGAACACTATTAAATTCGATGGCCTTTCCAGGCTGACATCCATCACGTGACAGCAGGTACGCACCTGTGGTCTGGGCCCACAGAGCAAGGGATTTGGTTCTTGTTAACCTTGTGACCCCAGTGCAACCAACCTAAAAGTTTGAGAGAGCAAGTTTCTTGCCAGCGATTCTGCCCTCAGCAACCCGCGTACAGAAAGTGCTCTGCACGCCGGAAGTGCACTAATCCGCAGCACGTGGGGTTGCCAGGGTGCTCTTCACGTGACTGGGCGGGGCCTGAGGAATCTTGTAGCCAGTGGTAGCACAAGAGGGCGGTGCCTGTCACGCGCTGGGCCTATCCCGGAAGTGGGGCTGAGATAGGGGCGGGAAAGGGCGGGGAGACCGGGGTGTGGAAAGTGGCGGCCCCGCCCAGTCTCTTGGAACAGCCGGAGCCGCCACAGCTACAGCCGTCGCCGCAGCTGTGTGGGACCCGCGCCGGTACGCAGACGAAAGGCTCTTTTTCTTTGCTGAAAGGTGAGAAGATGGGGAAAAACTGGAAAACTGATGGGGCCGAGACTGGAGCAAGGCAGGGCAGGGAAAGGCGGCCGGAGCCGAGGACTAACGAGCGAAAGAGGAAGGATAGATGGGGGAACGGAGGCGAGCGCGGGACCCGCCAAAGCTAAGGCCCGTGTGGGGCCGAGCCGGGCCGGGGATGCCGGCTGGACAGCGGGGCGCCTGAGAGGCCGGGGCTACGGCGCCACAGCCCGGGGCCGGAATGCGCGCCAGAAGCTCGAGGGCCAGGTGCTGTTATCCCCATCCTTCGCGGGGGCGTGCGGCCTGGGCTGGGGCCCCGCAGTGGAGATTAGGGCGGCGGCGGAGGGCCGGGTGGTGCGGCGCGGTGCGGGAAGGTCGCCGGCTTCTCCTGCGGTGGGACGACGGGGGCAGGGAATTTGCCGCTCCTCGTCCGGGTGAGCACCCAGGGCGGGTAACCCCCACTCCAGCGAGCTCCTCTGGGACTTCCCACCCACCTCCCCATCAGTGGATGGAAAAGTTTGTAGAGGCCGGAGTTAGAAAGTGTCCACTGTTCTTGCGTGGTTATTCTATAAATGCAAAAATGATCCGTGATGCTTGGCATGTAACCTGCCCAAAACGAGATGTTTCCTTCCCTGTGTGTCTGTTAAAAAGCAAACACAAACTTTTTGCACAGTTCCCTCGGGAAAGCTACCATCTCCCCAGCCCACCATGGCAGATGAAATTGATTTCACTACTGGAGACGCTGGGGCGTCAAGCACCTACCCTATGCAGTGCTCGGCCCTGCGCAAAAACGGCTTCGTGGTGCTCAAAGGACGACCGTGCAAAATAGTAGAGATGTCAACTTCCAAAACTGGAAAGCATGGCCATGCCAAGGTAAGTGCCCTTCCAGGTCTGCCTTTGCGTTGAGATTTTGATCATTTGTGTTTCATTACAGCACATGAGATTTTTGTACTTATAACCGTGTAATAAGCACTTCTTTTTCTTCCCACTGTTTATTGGGAGATCAGTTGTTACTTTGAATACTGAAAGGTGGAATTTTCTTCTTGGACCCTTATAATGTTTCATTGATTTTCCTGAGTCCAGTGACTTAGAAGATCTGTTCAGCTTACAAGATGAGAAAACCTGTTCTAACATAATTCTAAAATCTAACTTCATGTACCATCTTATAATTACTAGACTATGTATGATTTGGTATTGATATGTCATGATACGTTTAGTTCTTCAGTGCTTATCAATTCTGTGATCACTACCTTTTTTTAAGGAAAGTGAAATTAGATGACCTTGGAAGGAAAAAGAATCTCATAATCAGCCTTGGTTTTGTGTTCTTGTGTATGTAATGATTGATATACTTGGCAAAGTTTAAACAGGTTTCCTGTTCTCCCTTCTCTTGTTAGGTTCACCTTGTTGGAATTGATATTTTCACGGGCAAAAAATATGAAGATATTTGCCCTTCTACTCACAACATGGATGTTCCAAATATTAAGAGAAATGATTATCAAGTAAGTACTACTTTCCTTTAGAGTGCTGCTTCTTAAAGGTGTAAATACATTGTGTTGTCAATTGTAATTTAACAAAAACCAGGAGTAGTTTTGAAGGTTTTTCTAACCAATTATAAGGCACCACTTATCTTAGAAAATGGAGAAATAGTGACATTTAACAGTTGTATTTCATCTAGGATTATTGCTAGTTTACTATTTTAACATTGTTGAATTTTTAAAAGTTGAGACTTACTGTTCTCAGACTAAGTGACTGCATATTGTGTCTGAATAAGTTTAATTTTTAGTAAAATTACTCTTCTTTTTGTTGTAAAATATTTCAGATTTAGAGAACTCCCTCCCAGATGTTTTGGGTTTTTTTTTCACTTATCAGAACTAAGATTTTCAAGAAATTATTGGAATTCATGTTCCACCAACCAAGCTTGTGTATTAATGAATGTGACTTAGAATATGGTATTCTTAAATAGAGAAATAAGTTGAAATCCTTAAATGTAAAGGATAACACATTGTGTTGGCCAATAAGTCCATGTTTTTTCGTATGATGGCAGTAGTAGTGCTTAGCTGTCTTTAACTTGATTCAAAACAATTTTGTTAGACTGTATTGTGACAGCTGTCATATCAGCATGCATTTAAAAAATTTATCAAAATTGGTGAGTTTTTGTGTAAGCATGTTAATATTGAAAATGGAAGAAGATACACAACATTTTTAGTTTTAATGCTTTATTATTTCAAGAAAGGTAAAAAACGCAACTGAAATGCAAAAAGATTTGTGCATATGGAGAAGGTGCTGTGACTGATTGAACATGTTGAAAGTGGTTTGCAAAGTTTCTTGGTACTATTGACATTTTGTCCAAATAATCTTTGCTGTGGGGCTTCCTTATGCATTGGAAGATGTTTAGGAGCACCCCTAGCTTCTTCCCAGTAGAAGCCAGTAGCGGGAGATAGCCACCATAAACAACATATCCAAATCAATGAAGTTATTGGTGAAAATGAAAAATGTCTTTTATTTTATGGAAAAAAACTAAATGGACTTTTTGGCCTACCCAATATATCATCACTGACTATTGTGAAGAAAATCCAAAAACTGTAGTAGTGTTATTTATATTCAGTGACCATGTTGTGACCTTTTGTTAAATTATAGGTATAAATTTCAAGTTTTAGTTCCAATTATACATTTGAATAGTGCATGTTGAATTATAGCATTTTGTTGTTTGGGGTATTGATAGTAACCAAACAGTTGACATCATAGGATGTAGGAGCTCAAATAATCACAACTAAAGTCTTTTTTGAAAGTCTTCAATTTCTGTGTTAAGCATACCATATATAGAACTCATTTCTGTTCATTTTACATAGTGAGAAATATAAGTGTGACACTTAAACTTGTTTTATCCAGTTTAAACTGATTTCCTTCTATACCTTTTATTGTATTGTGTAATTTTTAAAAACTGTTAACCATCAATTGCAATTACCCAATGATTTCCTTTTACTCTTTGTCCACATGTAAACATGTTTTTACATGGTTTTAATGTAGTAAGCAGTTTTATATTTTCACTTTCCCACTTATCCTAAGTGTTTTATCTAGGTTGCTTCAAAGTCTATAGAATTTTGAATTGTCTTAATATAATAATAAGTATTGTTTGCTTGTTTGTTTAGTCAGGTGAGTCTGAGTTTGGATTAAGTTCTGCTGCTTTCTAGCTGGATGACCTTGCATAAATAATGAAATCTCGCTAAGCCTTGGTCTTTCTCTCTATAAGAGAGGGATAATGTAAGGGTTAAATTTTAAAAATATGCCCTATAATTACCTTCTATGTAGATATACACCAAAAAGTAGCTCTTTTCTGCTCCCCCTTTTCCTTATATTCTGGAAATTCCACTTAATCTTTCCATTATTCTTGAAGCACCTAATTGAGACATGGCCTATAGTAGGCATTCAATAAACATTTGTTAAATGCATACCTAATTATTCATTGAGGTAAAGCTAATACAGCCAACTGAGGCTGAGCATAGAATTTTCTTTTGTCAAAAGAGATTTACATTTTCATCCTTTTTTTAAAAAGATATTATTTATTTAATTTTGGGGGGGAAGAAAAAGGGAAACATCAATATGTGAGAGAAACATCGATCAGTTGGCTCTCGCACTCCCCCAACTGGGGATGTGGCCCGCTACCCAGTCATGTCTCCTGAGGGGGGTTCCAAATGGTGACCCTTCAGTTCTCAGGCTGGTGCTCAACCCTCTGAGCCACACCTGCTAGGGCTCCATTTTCATCCTTAATATGTGAATGCTTTGATCATTCAATAGGCATTATATTCATTAGCGTGCATTCAAATAGAAGGCTTTGCCTTTGAGCATTTCAGAATGATGGCATCAGTAGTTCAGATAGTTACTACTGTGACCAATCTAGTCAATCATTGATTGGAACTCAATATTTAATATGAAGGAAAAATTTGGTTTGGGTTTTTATTTGGAGTTATAATAGGGCCCAGACTCAGGTGAGGGGAATGAGGAGAGTGAGCTTCTTGCCTAGAGCACAGAATTTTAAATAAAAATAATACAGGTACTGTGTTTTACCATGTATAATGCACATCGGGTTTTTGTGCGTATTATACACGGGCTTATTATACTCATCATAGTCCATGGTATGTAATCATTATAAATGTATAATGAACATCCTTCTTTTTCCCTCAAAAATTTGGCCAAAAGAGTATGTATCGTACATGGCAAAATACAGTAATAATGCCAAGCCACATAGTAGCCTAAGGCAAAAGGAAAAGTCAATAATTCTGATTCTTTTTGAAAAACTTTTGATATTTTGTTCCTTGTAGAAATTTTGCATTAATCTTAATTTTTAAAAATACTGCATTAAAAAATTTATGTGGTCACTGATGTTTCTTTTGGCACCACCTGAAATTTTGCACCCAAGACAAATGCCTCACTCGCCTCACTCTAGTCCCAGTCTTTGGTATGTAGCTTGGATGAGAGACTGACTACAGACTGGATAAGTGAGTAACTCAAGCTAGACAAATCCTTGCTTTGGCACTTACTGTGTGACCTCAGTTGGCAAGTTACTTAACCTCTTGCCTTCTTTTCTTTAATCTTAAACTGAGGATAAGAATAATTCCTTGTGGCATCCTTGTGAGGTTTAATAAGTTAATACTTAGAACAGTGCCTTGCAGAGTAAGTACTCAGTGATCACATCCCTTTATTATCTAGTCACTGTAGAATACTTATTTCTGTTCATTTGTTAAAAATGCAGCTGTGTGACCCTTTCCAGGTATAGTTATTGTGCTGTGGTGGTCTTCACTCACTCTAAGTGCCTTGATTAAATTCCTCCTCCTCTTATTGTTTGGCTACATATAGTTCTCTGTATTTGCTTTATTTGGTATTTCAAATAAAGCAAAGTGCCAGTTTGGCAGTCAGTGAAAATTAAAAAGTAAATCTTTGTTTAGGAAAAGAGATGCATTGATATTTACAATTTTAACTTTATATATTTTAAAATAAGTTCAGAATGAAAGAAAAATTGTCGCCTGACTTCCATTGCAAGATGTAGTTAGGGTTAGAATTGCTAATTTCCATTAGTCCTCCCAAAAGTAGTTATGGTTGTCTGTGACTCAGTGGTAGTGTAAAATGCAAATACATCCAGACATCTTTTGGAATACCCAAGTTTTTAAATACAGAAATGCTTGTTTAGACTCTGATACTCATTCAAATCATGTTTCTTTAGAAAGTGCTCTGTTCCTGTGTACTTACTGCACCACAAATTAAATGCCTTTTCTGCATTCACTAAAGTTTTATGTCATGTGAAGTCTGTTTTTCAGAAGTAAAAGTAATTATTGTGGTATTGTGGACCTTTAGAATTACTGGTGAATTGCCCAAACTATGAATATTAAACCTTAGTATATTGGCCAGCCCTGGCAGGTGTGAGGCAGTAGATTGAGCGCCAGTGTGAAAACTGAAAGGTTGCTTGCTTTGATTCCCAGTTGGGGCACATGCCTGGGTTGCAGGCCAGGTCCCCAGTTGGGGGTGTGCAAGAGGCAACTAGTCGATGTATCTCTCACACATTGATGTTTCTCTCCCTTTCTTTTTCCCTCCTATCCCCTCTCCCTAAAAGTAAATAGATAAAATCTTTAAAAATAAGAGTAAAAATAAATAAATCTGAGTATATTCTTCAAATAAGTAGTATGCCTTTTGGATATTGGGATATGTGAGTTGAATTTTGTTGTTGCAACTTTAAAAAGAACACCAACAAAGAAAATAATTATTCTATTCTTCAAGGTTAAAGTCTTTTTATAATTTTTACCTGTTTTGTGGAATTCTTTGTGTTTTCTGGTAGAAGTCTTTCTTTGGGAATAAAAATTTTCTTAACCAGCAGATCCCAGTATTGCAGGGACAAGAAGCTAATTATTTAGCTACAGTATCATTAAAGGTAATAGTGAGAAGAGCCACAACCTTTGACTCCTGGACCTGTGTATTCTACCTATGGGAAAAATAGTACCAGATACTGAAATATATTTCAATCTGTAAAATAGTGTGCAGACCCACTAAGTATCACCCAGCAGGTGGCAAAGATGAGTCTTCAATAGGCCATTCCACACAGGCAGGCTGTGACGGAGTGCTTGGACCAGTGAGTTCTCTGGGCATTGTCCTGTTGCCTTTTTATTGTGCCATCAAATGAGGGTTTTTAGTTAGAAATGATACTACATGCAGTTCTGACAGGATGGTGGCATGCTATAAAACCTGCAAGTGAGATTTTAGTAAAAGCACTGAAGTCAGGGAAGGCAAATCCATATATAGAGTAAGAGTCTGGTGCAATGAGCACACTGCTGCCTCTTCTACACTGTTACCAGGTACCTAGCTGTTCCCCCCGGGGAATGGTGCCAAATCAGGGACTCTGTCGGTCTCTACTGTGAGGTACTCACTGGTGGCTGTAGTCAGATCAGCTTTGGTGAGAGGAAACCTGGACTCTCGGTGATTCCTGGACTTACATGTGAATTTTCTTCATGAA